GCAGCCTGCCTGTGGCACCAAGCTGCTTCCCACTTTGATCCCGCTTCCCTCGTTCCTAATTCCATCACAGCACTTGAGATCACCCCGTGGCCTCCCAGCTTTGCTGTCACATTGTTCTCCCCAAGTATCTTCCATTATTTTCCATGTCAAGTCCTTGCTTTCAGGRCCTTCACGATTTTTTTCTTTCTGGATGTACCCATAAACATCTTTGTGTTGCCATGGARATCTCCCCTGCACCTACACACACATCCCTTTCTGTGCAGCGTTCCAGCTGAAATCACATCTCCACCAATATTTCTTTGCTCTGATACAAACAGAAACMTGGAATAAATGTCTTCATTTGCAGGTGGGAATACCAAAAACAATTTGTTCCTCTTGTTTTTAATAAATCTGCACAGATGCAGACAGCTCTGCCCTGCTCCATCCATCCCCTGTCCCGTGGGCAGTGTGGCAGCTCTGTGTCCTGACCAGCTCAGCCCAGCTCAGTTATTAGTGCACAAAAGGACATTGATTTCCAATACAGCAACCTGCACTTCCCATTTCCCTTCTGAGCCCAGTGAATAAATGTCTGCTGACCTCCAAATGTCCAGCAGAATGGAGAGATGAAGTGGGCTGAAGGTCCTGGCAGGTGCACAGCCCACAATGAACCCCTCCAACCAAACCCACCTCTTGTTGGAGATGATGGGGACTCTCCAGCCCTTGATCTGGTTCAGCTCCGTGTCAGACACCTCTATCTGCAGCGGCAGCCGAGGAATCCACACTGTCATTTCTAAAGGGGCGCTCAGATGCTGGTAGGTAAAATTAACCACGACATTCACTTTGCCTTTCATTTCCTTCCCATTGACAAAGACGTAGTCACATCTGTCAGAAACCTGRAAACAAAAAGGAGAAGGAAAAAAAAACAATTAATGAGTCTCTTCACAAATTATAAAGTTTACCATATGCTGGGTGAGTGAGTGGGAGGAAGAGAAAGGATCCAGTTTTAAATAGCTCCAGGCTCAGAGGGCAGCTAGGCATGACAGGAAAGGTGCCTGTGCTGTAATAGCCTGTGTAATTCAGCGTGGTTTTTACAGGCTGCCTATAAACAGCTCTAGTATGATCTCAGATAAGAGAACAGCTCTTTCTGGGTCTGTAATTCCCACTCCAGCAGTAGGACAGACTCACAGTGATGGTAGGGACCCAAAGCTCAGACTATCCCGTGTGCAGCCCAAGGAGCAGCACTCACCTGGGGCAGGAGCTGGAACTGAATAAAGGACAGAGAAGGGGCCTGACCTCTCTGATCAGCCCCAAAACGGGACAGATTCTTCAAGAGTCCTGTCCCAGGTACCAGGAATGGGGTGCTCACAACCCAAACTGATGCTCAGAGCTGTGCCCAGGCCCAGCAGCTCCATCCCAGCTCCATCCCTGCTCCAGCCTGGCACAAACCTCACACAACTCCTGAGCAGGAGCTGCAACCGGCCCTGATGTCACTTTATTTATTACCTGCAGCTCTGGACATCAATATTGCAGAGAGTTAGTAAATCTCACTCAAGCCATTTAGCAGTTACTGCARGGATCTAGGTGAGCTGACAGGACCTGCTCATTACACTTAGTTAAAATATATGAGGGAATGTACACGTCAAATAATTTATTAACTACCACTTTACCGTGCTGATGATCTGAAGGAATGATCTATTAGAACCCTGAACTCTTTTCACAATCCATTACCAGCCAGAGCTTCTATTCCACTCCATTCCATCAATGTATTTAATATTTCTCCCTCCAGAATGTATAGCCTCATCCTCCTCTGAATTTAATGCCATTTTCTACTTTTCTGTTTCAATGCCGAACGGATTTAAATCATATTTAAATATCACCAGCTTTTGTAGGATAATTTGCATTCCTAATATTATTATCTTTAAACAACAC